GAATAGCCTCCATCTTCGCCAATTACTTTTCCACACTCTATGACCATACACCTAACCTTAACCACACACATCCGCACTTCCGACAGGACATGGACGAATACCTATTGAGAATCTCCCTCCGGCACTAACTGACTGGGAACGAGAATCCCTTGCTTCCCCCATCACTGAAGAAGAAGTAGCCTTCACAATAAAAAAACATGAAACCCAACAAAAGTCCAGGACCCGACGGTTTCACTGGTCTATATTACTAGACATTCAACCCCACACTACTGCCCCATCTGACCACATTATGCAACTCAATGATGGAAGGCGAACAACTGCCAGCAGAAATGCTCAAAGCCAACATCTGCCTAATCCCCAAACCACACAAATCGCATCTAGACCCTGGACACTACCGCCCAATATCCCTCCTAAATATGGACACCAAGATCTTCACGAAAACGCTAGCTAACAGAATACAGCGATTTTCTCCCGAAGCTCATTCACCCAGACAAGGTGGGATTTATCCCCAACCACCAGGCTTGCGACAATAACAGACGCACGATAGATTTAATATGGAGAGCCCAACACAGAAACATCCCCACCTTGTTGCTCTCAATGGACGCAGAAAAAGCATTTGATCGTTTGCTTAGGCGAAAACTAAACTTCCCTGACACTCTCATCACAGCCCTCATGACTCTATATGCCAACCCCACAGCAGCCCTACTCCTCCCCAACACTAAACCACACGAATTCACAATACGAAACGGAACGAGGCAGGGCTGACCGCTCATCCCACTCCTATTTGCCCTATCCCTGGAACTCTTAACATAGAAACATAGAAACATAGAATGTGACGGCAGATAAGAACCATTCGGCCCATCTAGTCTGCCCAATTTTCTAAATTACTCCAACTTATCCGCACCACCCCGGAAATTCAGGGACTAAAAATTAGAAGAGAGGAATACAAAATTGCGGCATATGCAGATGATATCCTCTTAGCCCTCACCGACCCCACCAACTCCCTGTCCCCACTGCTCACACTTCTCCAAGAATATGCTCACCTTTCAGGATACAAACTTAACTTGGACAAAACAGAAGCCCTTCCCCTTAACGTTCCCCAACCAACTCTAACCAAAATAGAACAATCACACCCCTTCAAATACAATCAGCAAAGCATTCACTATCTAGGCACACACATCCCTGCGGACCTCTCCAAAACCTACACGCTAAACTATACCATCTTAATCGAACAAGCACAGACGGACCTGCAAAAATGTCACCCTATGCACATATCCTGGCTCGGCAGAATTGCCTCAATAAAAATGAATCATCTACCAAAATTCCTGTACCTGTTCCAGACCCTACCCACCCCTATCTCCAGACAGGACTTCAAAGTGCTCCAAAATAAAATTGATAAATTCATTTGGGCGGACAAAAGACCAAGAATTAAACGAACCACCATGTACAAAACCGGTAGACCTGGAACACGATCTTCTGGGCAAAGACCACCCTTCACTTCTCTTCTGGCTCCCCAAACGAGACAGACCAGAACTTCCACCAACAACACCAGCCCTGACCACCTCCCTACAACTCTGGGACAAGACCATCGCACGCCACCCTCTCATAAACTCCCCATTACCACTCACCCCAATTCTGAGAAACAAACGCTTTCCCCCTGGCATGACAACACGAGACTTTGCACAATGGACTGACCAGACTCAGGGACTTCTTTAGCAAACAGCAAATTATACCATTCCCAGAACTCCCTCGCAATGTACCACTGAACACCTTCGACCACTTCCGCTACCTACAGCTGCGTAGCTTCCTGAACGAAGCACAAAATACAAAAACAGCAACCACAAAACTCACACAATTTGAGAAAACCTGCCTACAAACCCCCACACACAAGGGACAGATCTCGGTGATCTACTCCCAACTGAACTCCATCTCCCCAGCGGACACCCTCATCTACACAAAGGCTTGGGAAAGAGATATAGGCCCACCAGACGACCCATCAGACTGGGCAGACATATGGGAAGCCACCGCCTCGCTCACCATATGCGTAAACCACAAGGAACAAGCATATAAAACCATGCTCAGATGGTACCTGACTCCCCTGAGATTAAGACAAATGGGGATTGCTCCCACAGACACCTGCTGGAAAAAATGCGGATAACAAGGAACCTACATTCACATATGGTGGCACTTCCCCCAAAGCTCGCAACTCTGGACTGAAGTTGCTAACCTCACGTCTAGAATACTGCACGAAGACATACCCATGGACCCATGGATATGGCTCCTCTCTAAGCCGCAAGTTAATCTACCGAGAGCACAGAACAAACTGTTGGCGAAGCTCGCTTTAGCTACCAGACGCACCATAGCAGAACGATGGGGAAACCATAACACGATGACATTAGCAAAAATGATCCAGAAAACTAACGAATCCATGGAAATGGACAAACTCTCAGCCATCCTACACGACACAACAAAACACTGCCATAAAATCTGGGACCCCTGGATCACAAGGCACCTAGTAGGGGTGTAGGGGGCAAACCGGGATGTGCGGCCGCCCCGGGTACACCCCTATCCCCACAACCCCCACCCTCCACCCCCACCCTTTTTTCCCTCCCGAAAGACACCCAAAGCAAACCCACGTACACAATGCACCTACCAGGGACCATGCGGAACACGCCACAGCAGGGAACTCGCAAGACACCCTTGACCATCAACCAAAAACACGACCACCCCCACAAACACACACAAGCACAACCACGACACACACGCCACCGGACAAAACCACCGCTATACTATACGAATAGCAACCACACAGGACCGTAGGGACTGTTTACCCTGTACAACAACTCTAAACAGCAGTCTACATATAGCCCTCAGACTAAACTCCATGACAACACACATGGCACCCAAATGGGTATCGAATACGCAACACAACACAGACCTACCAGGAGAGACAAAAGTAGCAACTGTCAAATAGCTCGAACCATTACTCTTTCCCACATCACCACAAAGGTTTAAATACAGATAGCTGCCGATTAGAAATTTGTTACCCACCTACCCACCTCTGTACCCTACTGACCCAAATGGTATACAAGAACAAACTGTATGACTGTATGACAAACACGACCAATTTGTTTATCAAAGACAAAATGTACCATAACCCATGCTATCCATACTTCTTTCTTCTGTACCCCTTCTCTCAGAAAATCTTTAAAATAAAGAATTTTGAAAAAGTGTATAATTCCATGGAGAGGAGGAAATATAAAAATATTATAGGTAAAACAGAAATGGAATGGGTATATAATTTACAAACTCTAACCCCTTGTGATCTAAATGCAGACTTTGATCTGTTAATTTTTTTTATAAATATCAGTAGTTTTATATTTTATATCTATCCATTTTAATATCCTACTACTCTCCTTTTATATTATTATTTATTCTTGTTTAGTGTTTGCATTTATGTAAATTATTTCCTGTAATAACCCCTTAAGGACTGAGCCAAATGTACACACTGTGATCAAAACAAAACGTAAACAAAAACTTGAATCTGCACTATATGTCTGTTCAGGCGTAATTCGCCTCTTTCGTATTATGTGCACCCACACTTATTATATATCATTTTATTCAGGGGAAACAGGGCTTTCATTTAACATCAAATATTTTATGAAACATAATTTAATATAAATAAAATATAAAAAAATGGGATAAAATATGAATTGTAAATTCTTTTTTAGTTCTATGTGACATTCTAACTATGAATGCCATAATACTGTTTGCTTTTACTGCAATAAAATACACATATTTGTATTCAGCGATGTCTCCCCCTATGTACAAGTTTTATGGTGTTTTGGGAAGTTACAGGGTCAAATATAGCATGATAAATTTGTCAGTTTTTTCACATTGAAATTCGCCAGATTGGTTACGTTGCCTTTAGTATGCTAGCCCAGGAATGAGAATTACTACCATGGTGGCATACCATTTACAATAGTAGACAACCCAAGACATTGCAAATGGGATATGTCCAGTCTTTTTTAGTAGCCACTTGGTCACAAACACTAGCCAAAGTTAGCGTTAATATTTGTTTGTGTGTGAAAAATGCAAAAAAATAATTTGAACGACAATTTTGCCCAGTGTTTTTGTGACTAAGTGGCTACTAAAAAAGACTGGACATACCCCATTTGCAATACCTTGCCATCATAGGGGTAATTTTCCTGGGCTAACATACGGTCTCAAAGTTTATGGTTTCTTGGAAAGTTACAGGGTTAAATACAGTGCTAGCAAATTAAATTCCCTGAACTTTCGGCCTGGGTTTTCAGACAGGTCCTGCAAATTGTAATTAATATAATGACTTAATTATATATATATATATATATATATATATATATATATATATATATATGTGTGTGTATATAATATATTGTCTCTATCTGCACCACTCCCACAATGGAGCTGTAATCTCTCCTTGCCTTCCCCAATATGGCCACCGTCATTTGTGGCTATTTATCTCTCACCTAACAGGAACCTTGTCAAAAAGACCTCCCCAACATGGCCGCCGCTATTTTCGGCCACTATTTTACCATCACAATATGGCCGCTGCAATTTGCCTCTTGCCCTTCACAATATGACCGATGGCATCCACATCGGCTATGTAATCATTTACTACATATCCCCTGTAGCATTGCGACTAAATACACATCCGCGTCACATGACCAACTTCCCAATGCTATTTTCACTTAATGTAACCCTTGTTTTTTATAAAATTTGATATTTTACCTCTGTATTAATATAATAAATTTTATGTACTTTTAAAATGTTTTTAAATATGTTGAATTCCGATTGGATAATGCTAATTTTGCGCCATTTTTAAACACAGTTATCCCTATATAAACTCCTATAGCCAGGTTGATTGTTTTTATTCCATTTGATAAAGCCTGTAACGGTGAAACGTGTTATAGACATTTAAAGGGACACTATAGTCACCTGAACAACTTTAGCTTAATGAAGCAGTTTTGGTGTATAGAACATGCCCCTGCAGCCTCACTGCTCAATCCTCTGCCATTTAGGAGTTAAATCCCTGTGTTTATGAACCCTAGTCACACCTCCCTGCATGTGACTTGCACAGCCTTCCATAAACACTTCCTGTAGAGAGAGCCCTATTTAGGCTTTCTTTATTGCAAGTTCTGTTTAATTAAGATTTTCTTATCCCCTGCTATGTTAATAGCTTGCTAGACCCTGCAAGAGCCTCCGGTATGTGATTAAAGTTCAATTTAGAGATTTAGATACAATTATTTAAGGTAAACTACATCTGTTTGAAAGTGAAACCAGTTTTTTTTTCATGCAGGCTCTGTCAATCATAGCCAGGGGAGGTGTGGCTAGTGCTGCATAAACAGAAACAAAGTGATTTAACTCCTAAATGACAGTGAATTGGGCAGTGAAATTGCAGGGGAATGATCTATACACTAAAACTGCTTTATTTAGCTAAAGTAATTTAGGTGACTATAGTGTTCCTTTGTGTATTTTAACTTATTAAAGGTTTGTTTGTGCCATTCTCCTTTGTTATATGCATTTTCCCTGGCAATTTTAGGTTTTATAATTCAAGTAATCCCAAGATGGGGATAATACCACCAACGCTGTGTCCATAGAGCAGCCAGCCTGCTTTATCCTTTGTGTGGACGTGGTGGACATTTGCTGCATATACTTTAAAGCGGGAAATATAAGTTGGGTGTAGCCTTTTGTAGCTTCTTGATTAGTCCAGGCAGTTGAGGATGACGAAGGTGAAATCCAAGATTAGTGGTTAGGGAGGCCACTAGTGGTGTAGAGCTGGAACTAGTTATTAAAGAAACTGGAATATGCAAACATGAATTTAGTTGTCAGGATATGATCCTGACAGGAATCCTCTACTTCAGACACCACAGATTATGATACTTCTGATGACCAACAGCCTTCCAGCACACAATATTCAAATAATTTTTTAGAGTCGGGACATCGCAGCAACAGAGGAAGCAGAGGACGAGACGTAGTAATCAAACCACAAGGGCGGGAGTCAGATTCAATCCAGATCGAGAGAAAAAAATATACCATATGAGAATGTACAATCCTAACAGAAGGACTTAATTGTGGTTAACATTTCTGACACCGTACTTGGGGAATGGGAACTTAAGGTATTTTCCAAAAGATTATTCTTTTGTCCGGCCTCTAAACTTGATTCATTTGATTTATTCATGAGTAGAGTTGAGCGAACTTAGACTGTAAAGTTCGGGTTCATACCGAACATTAAGTTTTTTGGACCACGGACATATCAGTGTATGTTCGTGTTGGAGTTCGGTATTCGGCTATTTAACCCCTTAAGGACACAGCTTCTGGAATAAAAGGGAATCATGACGGAATGTTTCCGTCATGTGTCCTTAAGGGGTTAATGGCACGTTTTGAAAGGCTGCAGGGCAGCCAATCAACAAGCGTTTGACTCATGTGCCCTGGAGTTGTGTAGCGCCGCACGCACATGAGCTCTTATTAGTGTAGGGACAGGATGCTGAAGCTGTGAGGGACAGATTAGGAAAGCATTCTGGTGCTGAATCTGTAAACTACAGGGAGTGCAGAATTATTAGGCAAATGAGTATTTTGACCACATCATCCTCTTTATGCATGTTGTCTTACTCCAAGCTGTATAGGCTCGAAAGCCTACTACCAATTAAGCATATTAGGTGATGTGCATCTCTGTAATGAGAAGGGGTGTGGTCTAATGACATCAACACCCTATATCAGGTGTGCATAATATTAGGCAACTTCCTTTCCTTTGGCAAAATGGGTCAAAAGAAGGACTTGACAGGCTCAGAAAAGTCAAAAATAGTGAGATATCTTGCAGAGGGATGCAGCACTCTTAAAATTGCAAAGCTTCTGAAGCGTGATCATCGAACAATCAAGCGTTTCATTCAAAATAGTCAACAGGGTCGCAAGAAGCGTGTGGAAAAACCAAGGCGCAAAATAACCGCCCATGAACTGAGAAAAGTCAAGCGTGCAGCTGCCACGATGCCACTTGCCACCAGCTTGGCCATATTTCAGAGCTGCAACATCACTGGAGTGCCCAAAAGCACAAGGTGTGCAATACTCAGAGACATGGCCAAGGTAAGAAAGGCTGAAAGACGACCACCACTGAACAAGACACACAAGCTGAAACGTCAAGACTGGGGCAAGAAATATCTCAAGACTGATTTTTCTAAGGTTTTATGGACTGATGAAATGAGAGTGAGTCTTGATGGGCCAGATGGATGGGCCCATGGCTGGATTGGTAGAGGGCAGAGAGCTCCAGTCCGACTCAGACGCCAGCAAGGTGGAGGTGGAGTACTGGTTTGGGCTGGTATCAAAGATGAGCTTGTGGGGCCTTTTCGGGTTGAGGATGGAGTCAAGCTCAACTCCCAGTCCTACTGCCAGTTCCTGGAAGACATCTTCTTCAAGCAGTGGTACAGGAAGTCTGCATCCTTCAAGAAAAACATGATTTTCATGCAGGACAATGCTCCATCACACGCGTCCAAGTACTCCACAGCGTGGCTGGCAAGAAAGGGTATAAAAGAAGAAAATCTAATGACATGGCCTCCTTGTTCACCTGATCTGAACCCCATTGAGAACCTGTGGTCCATCATCAAATGTGAGATTTACAAGGAGGGAAAACAGTACACCTCTCTGAACAGTGTCTGGGAGGCTATGGTTGCTGCTGCACGCAATGTTGATGGTGAACAGATCAAAACACTGACAGAAACCATGGATGGCAGGCTTTTGAGTGTCCTTGCAAAGAAAGGTGGCTATATTGGTCACCGATTTGTTTTTGTTTTGTTTTTGAATGTCAGAAATGTATATTTGTGAATGTTGAGATGTTATATTGGTTTCACTGGTAATAATAAATAATTGAAATGGGTATATATTTGTTTTTGTTAAGTTGCCTAATAATTATGCACAGTAATAGTCACCTGCACACACAGATATCCCCCTAACATAGCTATAACTAAAAACAAACTAAAAAACTACTTCCAAAAATATTCAGCTTTGATATTAATGAGTTTTTTGGGTTCATTGAGAACATGGTTGTTGTTCAATAATAAAATTAATCCTCAAAAATACAACTTGCCTAATAATTCTGCACTCCCTGTACAGTGATTTATTTTTGTGGGTGCTATAATACTATATTTTTGTACCCTGCCATGAGCCCAGGGCCACAGAGAGTGCAGTGCACTTTCAACTACATGTGTGCCAGGCACATTACTTTAATCCTGTTCTGGTAGCTCAGTGGGCAACATCTAGGCATTTTTAAATACTGCAATTTTTTTGGTGCTAGATAGCATTTCTTGCAGTCCAATAAAACACTTGAAACCCTACTGTTACATTGTTGGTTTAAAAAATCAAACTTTTTGGTGCTAAATAGTACATTTGCGGTCTGCGGTGCACTTCATATCTGAGAGTCAAATAGAACCATCAAATGCTGTGTTTACAGCACAGTTTTAAAAATTCTAATTCTTTAGGTACTAAAAAGTAAATTTGGGGCCTGCATTTCATATCTGAGAGTCAAATAGAACCGTCAAATACTGTGGTTACAGCGCATTTTTAAACATTCAAATTCTTTAGGTTCTAAATGGTACATTTGTGGCCTGCACTTCATATCTGAGAGTCAAATAGAACCGTAAAATACTGCTGTGACATAGCAGTTTGCGAAATTCACATTTTTGTGGTGCTAAAAAGTAAATTTGTGGCGTGCACTTCATATCTGAGAGTCAAATAGAACTGTCAAATACTGTGGTTACAGCACATTTTTAAACATTCAAATTCTTTAGGTGCTAAATAGTAAATTTGTAGCATGCACTTCATATCTGAGAGCAGGGCCGGTGCAAGGATTTTTGCCGCCCTAGGCAAAAGAAAGATTTGCCGCCCACCCACCCCCAGTGACATCGCATATGATGCCCCACCCATATGATCTGCCATATGAACTAACGTCAGTACTGCACACAGTGTGTGTTTACATTAAAAAAACCTGCACCAACAAACTATAGACACAAGAACCACTTTATTAAGCTGCAGTGGTTCTGGGGACTATAGTGTCCCTTTAATGTGAGGTAAATTAGAGATTAGTGTCATTAATAATATACTAGATTGCCTACTTACAAACAGATGAGGATGGTGATGGGCTCTGGCTGCAGTCTGGCTCCACTGGTCTGGTGTAGAACAGGATCTCTGGAGGCTGTTTGTAACTGTGGTCACAAAATTCAATGTTCTGGGAGAACGGGAAGCAGCTCCATTTTTTGGGGCCCCTTACACAGCTCAATGTCTGGGCCCCAGGCCTGACGGTGAGTATGCCCATAAGGCCCACCCATAAGTCCACCTACATGTTCCACCAATGAGTTCGCTCACAGGGAGTGGAGTGTGTAGGGGATGTGTTATGTGTTGCTGTAGAGTATCTAATGTGTGTGCTTATGGAATGTAGTGTATAGGGATACCAGTTTGTGTAGGTGATGCAGTGTGTTTGTGTGTAGTGGAAGCAGTGTGTTTTTGTGTAAGGGATAGAAAGCAGTGAGTGTTTGTGTATAAGGGATGTATTGTGTGTTTTTTTGTTGTGTGTAAGGGATGCATTGTGTGAATCTGTGTTTGTATGCATAAGGGATGCAAAGTGTGTTTCTGTGTATGTAAGGGATGCAGTGTGTGTCTGTAAGGGGTGCGTTGAGTGTGTGTAAGAGATGCATTGTGTTTCTGTGTGTGTGTAAGAGAAGCAGTGTGTGTTTGCATGTGTGTGTAAGGGATGCATTGTGTGTTTTTGTGTATATGTGCAAAGGATGCATTGTCTTTATGTGTAAGGGTTGCATTGTGTGTTTCTCTGTGTGTAAGGGAAGCATGTTGTGTTTCTGTGTGTATAGGGATGCATTGTGTGTGTGTGTGTGCGCGCGTGGTGTGAAAGAGCTCCCTGTCCTGCCCCTGTCCTATAGAGCTCTCCCTTCCATTCCTTAGAGATCTCCCCTGCCCCTTAGTGGTCTCTCCTCTCCCCCCCACCTCCCTTAGTGGTCTCCTTTTCTCCCCGACTTTCCATTAGTGGTCTCTCGTCTCCCCCTTAGTGGTCTCTGCTCTCCTCTGCCCCCCTTTCCATTAGTGGTCTCTCCTCTCCCCCCTTCCCTTAGCGGTCTCTACTCACCCCCTTCCCCTAGTGGTCTCTACACCACCCCCTCCCTCCTTTAGTGGTCTCTCTCTCCCCCATGTTCCTCAACCCCCCTCC